AGGCGTGCAGCGCAGGCGGCGCACCTGTAGTTCTGGAGCCGGACTGGCGATATCAGTATGTATGTCCGAATGTGTGTGTGTGTGTGTGGATGTGTGTGTGTGGATGTGTGTAGCTTTTTGCGGAAGAGGTTCGCTCTCGCCCCGCAGATAAAGAAAAACAGTGTGTGGATGTGTGTGTGTGTGGGGGGGGGGGGCGCAGAAGCGGATGCATGTAGTCCGTGATGCGCGTTTGTGGTGAGGATGCCCGCGACAATCCAATTCTCGTGTGGGGGCCCAGTCTCCTCTCTCCTTTCCCTCCTTCCATCCTCCCACATCTCGATCCTCACCCCGCCTGCCCGTCCCCTCCCGCTCCCCCTCTAATCCCCCTTCTGTGCCACATCTCCCTCATCCTGCCACTGCCCCCTCCTCCCCTCACCGTCGCTCCTCGCCCTTGCACTCCCCCCTGCCCAGACATCCGACGCCGTGATCTTGCTCACAATGTGGCTCCCCAGAGGTCCGTCAATCTGAGCAGATTTGAGCCGTCCCCGGGCCCGGTCAGTGTCCCCAGTGGCTCTCAGAGGCCAAAGATGGCAAACCTTCCGTATCGCGAGGATGTCGGGGCTCCCCCCTCCCCGCTCCCCCTCCCCACTCACTCGTCCGCTCCCCTCCGTTCCTCGTCTCATTCACCTGGTCTCCTCCCTCGCCTCTTTTCCATCCCCATCCCCCAGTCGAGCCCCGCGCGCGCCCCAGAGCGCGCCCTGACCAAGCTTTTGAGGCGAGTCTGGCCGTGTCGACGGGGGACCTCCCAGAGGCGCCCCACAAAGGGCGAGCATGAGGACGGGGGCGGAGGGTCTCCTTCTCCTGGCCACGAGGAGGAGGAGGAGGAGAAGGAGGAGGAGGAGGACCAGTGTAAACCCAAGCGTCATCAACGATGTTGGAATCAACCCTCCCTTCAAGCTCCCTCTTCGTTGGCCCCATACAGCGGTTCTTTTACACTGAGGGACCTGCCTCGTTGGAGGACAACCTTTTGAAGACACTGAAGCATGCCAAAACAGTGTTCTCGGGATTCCAACGCCACGGATCAACCTGACTGTTGCGTCTTGACGATCCTGAATCGCGCCAGAACGCGATTTTTGGAATTTCAACACCGCGAATCAACAAAATCATTGCACCCTCATAATCCTGAACCCTTCCAAAGCCATTCCTGGTACGCTGATTATGGGAATCCGTGAAACAAACGAATGTGCGCGGCGCTAAGGCGAGAACCACATTTCGAAAAGGAACCGCCCTCAATCCGTTAAACTCTTGCCAATGTTTGAAACGGATGTATGTACGCGGCGCTAAGGCGAGAGCCACATTTTGCAAACGACCCGCCCTCAATGCGTGAAACTCTTAGAAATATCTGAAACGAATGTGCGCGGTCATAAGGAATAGGAACGGAGGAGGAGGAGGAGGAAGAGGAGGAGGAGGAGGAGGAGGAGGAGGAGGAGGAGGAGGCGGAGGGGGAGGCGGAGGGGGAGGGGGAGGTGAGGAGGAGGATGAGACGATAAGGAGGATGAGGAGGAGGAGCAAGGAGGAGGAGAGGAAGGAGGGAGGAGAGGAGTGAGGAAGTAGGGTCAGGAGGAGGAAGGAGAGGTAGAGGAGCAGGAGCATCAGGGAGGAGAAGTAGGAGTGAAGCGGGATGATGGAAAGGGATGATCATGAGGAGCAGAAGGACAGGAGGATCAGGAGGAGGAGGAGGAGGTAGGAGGAAGGGAGGAAGAGGAGGAGCGAGGTTGCTGAGGAGCGCCCCCCCCCCGGGCCATCTTGGCTATGAGGCCTGGACGCGGTAATCCAGGCGTTGTTTTATTTTCCCCGCACGAAAAGAGCAAGCCTCTGTCGCGCGCGCGTCGACTGGGGTCCCGCGCATCGATATGCGTTAGTACGGAAAGGCAGACGAGGAGGTGAAGGAGGTCCTTCTCATCCTCCTCCTGCCCCTCCTCCTTCTCCTCCTTCCCACTCCTCCTCCTCCTCCTTCTCCTGCTCCTCCTCCTCCTCTTCCTCCTCCTCCTCCTCCTTATCGTCCTCCTCCTCCTCCTCCTCCTCCTTCCTTCTTCTCTTCATCATCTTCCTCCTCTTCCTCCTTCATTTCCTCCTCCTCCACCTCGTCCTCCTCCTCCACCTCCTCCTCCTCCTTCTCCGCCTCCTCCTCCTCCCCCTGTTTGCCTTGGCGGTACTCTGTCCCTCCGCCCCCCCCCCTCGGCCCCGAGATGCCAGTGGCGCTCCCGCAGCAGCTGCCGCCCTGTGCAGCAGCAGGCGTCCAAGGGTGTGTGACGGGATGAGGGCCTGGAAAGCGAGTATTTTTTGGAAGCTCATTTTGGGATTCGGCATTGCACCGTGACGAGCCGGGTAGAGCGTTGATTATCGGCTTCCCGAGTCTCCCTCCCTTTCCCCTTCCCGCCTCTCCAGAAGATGCGCTCATCGGGTTTCCTTGCCATTTTTTTGAGCCAGCAGTGAAGAAGTGGAGCCCGATGGACGTAGTGCTCCTTTTCGACATTGGTTATCTCACGTCTCACCCTGCTCGTCCCTCGTCCTCCTTCTGCTCCTCCTCCGCCTTCCCTGGCATGCTTTTCGTTTCACCTGGGAGGAAAGGACGATGACAGCCAGGCGGCGGGACAGCCTGCCGATTCTCTATTCTTTACTGCCGGTCATCGGTGCATGGGGCTATCGTTGCTGATGTTCTGTTTGTTTTGGAAGATCATTCCAGCTTGGTGCCTGCTGGGGGGCTGAGGTGGCCCAGCATGGGCTGGCTCGGGCAAGAAGATGAGGGAGAAAGGGGCCCCCTCGTCGCCACGGCCGGTCGCGGCGCGGACAACTTGTCAGTGTGGATCCCAGGAGGGTCTGGGGGCCGATTTTGGGTGAGTCTGCCCCCATCCCCCTGCTTGATTGATTTTTTCGGGGCCCATCCAGCGCAGACCCTCCGGTCGCTTCCAACATTCTAGCGCACATGATGCGTGTTGTTCTGGCCTGCAGTTTTTTTGTGTTTATTATTAGTATTGTTATTATTATTGTTATTATTATTGTTATTAGTACAATTATTGTTATTATTATTATTGTTATTGTTATTATTATTATTATTACTACTATTACTATTATGATTATTATTATCATTATTATTATTATTATCATTATTATTATCATTATTGTTATCACGTAGCACCCCGCAATTGCGGATAAGAGTGAGGGGGCGGGCGCGGGCGACGCGGGCGTCGTCGAGCCAGCGGACCTCGTGGCCCCCACCTTCCCTGTCGATGGCGCTGCCCTCCTCCTCCTCCTCCTCCTCCTCCTCCTCTTCCTCGTCCTCGTCCTCGTCCTCATCGTCATCGTCATCCTCCTCCTCCACCTCGTCCTCCTCCTCCTCTTTTTCCTCGTCCTCCCTCTCCCCCCCTCGTCCTTTCATCATCGTCCTCCCATTGTCGTCCTCGCCCTCATCGGCCTCCATCATCGTCCTCCCATTGTCGTCCATCATCATCCTCCTCCCCCTCCTCGTCCTCCTCCTCCCCCTCTTCCTTCCCCTCCACCCCGTCGGCATTGGTTTGTTCAGTGAACGTGGTTTAGGTCGCGGGTGGGTCGCGGGCTCTCCACCTCCACCTGGAAGGAATGCAAAAGCAGCCCGCCGCAGGCGCCAAAAAAATTGGTTTGTACACTGAACGTGGTTTGGGTCGCGGGTGGGCCGCGGGTTCTCCACCGGGAACGAATGCAAAAGATGCCCGCCGCAGGCGCCGAAAAATGTGGTTTGTACCCTGAACGTGGTCGCGGGTGGGCCGCGGGCTCTCCACTTGAAACGACTGCAAAAGATGCCCGCCGCAGGCGCCGAAAAATGTGGTTTGTACCCTGAACGTTGGTCGCGTGTTGGTCACGGGGTGGGTCGCGGGCTCTCCACCTGGAAGGAATGCAAAAAAAAGCCCGCCGCAGGCGCCGAAAATGGTGGTTTGTACTTTGAACGTGGTTTGGGTCGAGGGTGGGTCGCTGGGTGGGTCGCGGGTGGGTCGCGGGTGGGTCGCGGGTGGGTCGCGGGTGGGTCGCGGGTGGGTCGCGGGGTGGGTCGCGGGGTGGGCCGCGGGTGGGTCGCGGGGTGGGTCGCGGGGTGGGTCGCGGGGTGGGTCGCGGGGTGGGTCGCGGGGTGGGTCGCGGGGTGGGTCGCGGGTGGGTCGCGGGGGGGTCGCGGGTGGGTCGCGGGGTGGGTCGCGGGGTGGGTCGCGGGTGGGTCGCGGGGCGGGTTGCGGGTGGGACGACGACAACAAACAACAACAAACAACAACAACAACAACAACAACCACAACAACAACAACAACAACCAACAACCAACAACAACAACAACAACAACAACAATCATTTTACCCGAACGCTCAGTGTTCTCCCCAGTGCCAGGGTTTTCTTGCGACACCAGCCAATACCCCCACTTCGTGGGGGGGCCGTTCAAGCTCTACCAAAAATCCAAACGACTCTTCGAGACCACCCACACCCAGCTTCCCGCCCTATGACGTTGGGACACTTCACTTCGTGGCGTGCGGACGACCCTGGCTACTACACTGGCGTGGGGTACACACCCACAGAGGTTGATCTTCACGTACCATTGCCTCAAAACCATACCGCTGACAGCGACGGGAGGATCGCTCTCCGAGAGAAGCTGCGAGAGGACCTCCGCAGCGGCCTCGTCGGCGAAGCTCTCCCGATACTGATTGAGTCGAAGACGCTCGCCCATACATTCCTCCACAGCGTGGGCAGTGTTCAATGCCCCCTTGGCGCCCCACTCCGTGCTGAGCCACTTCTGGCATACCCTGGCGTTAGCAGATACAGATAAATGTCCCAGGAGCCACTGCTTCAAGACGGCCCCGTCAGTGGTCCCCTCGGGCATGTCTTTGCGAATACGTTCTCCATACCAGGTCTCCAGATGGCCAGCGTTCTGCACTTGGACAAGCGTGTCTTTCGATGAATACTGCAGTAGCCACGCCGTTGCGACCCTATCTGGCACATACAGTGGTGGATCCAACTGTCGGAGCGCCCGGCATAAATTGTAAGCGGTATTATACTCGATGCCCAGGTGGCGGATGGCAGACCCGTGCTGCTCCTCCAGCTCCTTGGCGCTAGAAATACTGACCTTGCCAGTCACAACCCGATACTTGGCCCACCAAGTCTTGCACGCCTGGTGACTGGCATTGATACCCTTTGCCGCGAGCGCCTGATGCAAATAATACGCACTCTCGCAGTCGGCCAAGGGAGGCCGGGACAGCTCTGCGCCATACTGCTCGTGAAGGTCTTTCGCCGACAAAGCCATGATCCAAGAACACAGGCGATACCTTGATCCGAGATGGCTACGGATATGAGCGTGAGAGGAAGGGGGGAAGCCTCCTGGGGCCGCTGGGGGTCCTCTTGGGGAAGGGGGGAAGCCTCCTGGCGCCGCATGGGGTCCTCTTGAGAGGCTTTGGGGGGCTTCTTGAAAGCATGTTGGGGCCTCTTGGGGGCTTATTGGATCCTCCCGGAGGACTCTTGGAGCCGCTTGGACGCCTCCTGGGGCCATCGTGGGGGCCTCTTGGAGCCAACTTGGAGCCTCTTTGGAACCTCTTGGGGGCCTCTTGGAGTCCTCTTGGGGCCTCTTGGGACCATCTTGGGCGCCTCTTGCGGCCTCATGGGCGCCTCTTGGGGCCATCTTGAGCGCCTCTTGGGGCCATCTTGGGTTTTAAAGATTCATCAAGAGCCCGCGGGTGGATTTTGATATTTTTCGGATGAGAAAGTCTTGCGTTTGCATATGTTTTCGGAACATCGCATCTTGAAATTATTGAAATCACATTATGTTGGGCAGGATTTCGGCACGCGCGCGCGGCGGCCGCGCGCATGTGCACTTCGTGTCATTTTTTGCAAGGGATGGTGGCCCTCGTAGGCTCGCAACCGTTGTTGCAGAAGGTCGAAGCACCTGAAAAGGTTCCTCGCAAAGGCCCTTTTAACAGAAATGTTTATAATCTGGTGGGTTTCCTAGGAATCCGCAAGAGCGCGCGGAAGGACATTTTGACAATTTTTTCTGAGAAAACCATTGGGTTTTTGATGTTTTTATGTTTAAATCGTTACGAAACCTAAGGTTTTGGAAGGATTTCGTCTTGCGCGCACGAATGTCCACTTTACCTTATTTTTTTGCAAGGGATTCTTGCAATTTGATCAAGTAAAAACAAGAATTTTCATTTTCTATTGTTTTTTGCAAGGGAAAACGAGCGTCAACAAAAAACCGGATCCGGAGCTCATCCACTTTTCTGAAGCTTTCGCGAAAAAATGATGAAAATTTAGCTGCGGCCTAGGCGCGGCGCAGAGGTCGCGCACCAGGGGTCCCAACAATAATAATTCTTTAGAAGGAATAATGTTCAACACCAACAACAACAACAACAACAGCAACAACAACAACAACAACAACAACAGCAGCAGCAGCAGCAGCAGCAACAACAACAACAACAACAACACCAGCAGCAGCAGCAACAACAACAACAACAGCAACAACAACAACAACAACACCAACAACAACAACAGCAACACCAACAACAACAACACCACCAACAACAACAACAACAGCAACATCAACAACAACAACAACGCCAACAACAACAACACCAACAACAACAACAGCAACATCAACACCACCAACAACAACAACAACAGCAGCAGCAACAACAACAAACAACAAACAACAAACAACACCGCACACTAACAACAACACGATTCCGCACCGCGGAATTCCACTTCAGCCACGCACCCTGGGACAGTGAATGACCGTTCGGCCCCTTCACTCTGATTATTATCATTATGATCATTCTTATCATATATATATATATATGAAATGTTGCTTTTAGTCGTGCCTCGGCGATCATTGACTTCTTGTTCTTTGCGTTGTGTAGCTGCTGCTGTTGAATTCTCATGATTGAAGAATAGCTATTGTTAATCCCCCGCCGGTAATATATTTTTGTTTCGATTGAAGTGCCCCTCTTGGGGCTCGCACGTCGTTTTTATCAGGGACGCTCTTGCTGCTCAGACTATGCTCCTGTCCCCGCCTCATATTTCTTTTCGATTTACTGCGGAATCGCGCTCTCGCTAGGGACCTCCTTGCAATTGATAGAAGAATCGCGCCCTCGCCTGTGACTTCTTCGCAATTTACTCAGGCGCCACGCCCTCGCCATTCAGGAATCGCGCTCTCGCCTGGGACTTCCTCATCATTTACTTAGGAATCGCGCTCTCGCCCGAGACTTCCTGGCGAATTATGCAGGAAACGCATTCGCGTAACATATGTGTTGATTTCAATTGAAGTGCCCCTCCCAGGGCTTGCTGTGTTCTTACCGGGGAAAGTCTTCCTGCTCAAACTGTGCTCCTGGTCCCCCGTTCACAACAACAACGGCTCCCGCCTGACAGTTCACCGCAATTTGCTGAGGAATCGCGCTCTCGCTGGGGACTTCCGTGCAATTTGCGAATCGTTTTCTCGCTTGATATTTCCTTGCAATTTCTTCAGGCGTCGCGCTTTCGGCGCTCAGGAATCGCGTTGTCACTTGGGACTTCCTCGCAACTGATTCAGGCGCCGCGCTCTCGACACGGAATCACGCTCTCGCCTGGGATATTCTCACGAGACTTATTTTGGAATCGCGTTGTCGTTCAAGACTTCCCCGCGATTCATGCAGGACGCACGCTTCAGCAACCCGTCTGCTCGACCTGGCCGCCTGGGCCCGCCCCTGAGGGTCTACCCGCCCGATCTGCCCGTCTGGGTCTGCCACGTGCTTTCTGATCCTAGCCCCCGTCCTGCTACGCTCTCTCGTGCTCCATCCTCCTCTTTCCTCCTTGTTCGTTCCTTCCATCCGTCCTCTCTTCCCCTGCCTTTGGTGCTGCTGCACGACATACACGTTGCAGGTAAGAAAGGTCTGCCCCCAAGGGGATGCGATCGAAGACGGAGAGGGTGAGTATCGAGGGTTTGGAATATACGTGTCGAATGGCGCGCGAGCAGATATGGGCGAACATTCTTAACATGTGTTCCGTTGCTTGCGTTTACTGTTTGTAGTTTTTTTGGGGGGCAGGGCGCTACGAGCCACGAGAAGGCACTAACCCTAATTGATGTAAATTCACATGCGTTCCCAACAATACCGTCAAGTGCAGCGGCGTTAACGTCTGCCACGTCTCGGCGAAGCATACGACTCGAGTGTGCCGCCACGCTTTGATGGTCCCGCTCTCGTGAGACGTTTGCAGCGGGAGCTCGCGTCAAATGTCAGATTGGGTCTCGTTACTTTCCTGACGGCGTCAGGCACATTCGAGTCCCCAGATTTCGAGTCTTACGTCTCCCCGGATGTCGCTGATGCTTGGGGACGGCATGGGGGCTGGAGGGATGAGGAGGTAGGGCGTGGAGTCTCCCAGGAGGTTGAGAATTCGTCATCGGCTCTGATATTTCCTTGGCACTCGTGTAGCGTAGCCCCGCCTTGTCCAGCGTAGTCCGGCTTATCCTTCTCGATCCAGCTTGATCCAGCCTACTTTCGTATCCTATCACGGTTTTTATTGCTTCATATGTCTGCCCCTGGACACCCCAGACGACCAGAGTTGCCACCCAAGACGATCCCGAGCTGCCACCCAAGACGACCCCGAGCTGGGCAAAAACAAGCAGTCAGGTTCCTTGCTTGCCTGGTTGCTACATCGTCTGGTCTGCTGTATGCTTCCTCGCGCGGTGCACCCAAACACTATGCACCACGCATGCCCGTCGCCCCACAAGCAAGCATCCAAACATCATGCAGCAGCATCCGTACATGCAGCACTCATCATTGACATGGTTAGCAGCACTGTAGTGGTGTGGTGACAGCAACTGAACAGTGAGAGCAACTGGCCAACGCTCTGATAAAGGTGGAGTGCCGGATTGGAGCTGGGGCAGTTCGTCTTAACCCTGATTGTGCAAGCATCTTTGGCAGCGTAGGGCAGGGCTTGTGATTCTGAAGTGGCCAGGCGGGAACGAGATGGGTGATCATCGAGCCAACGATTTCACAGAAACTAGGCAGCAGTGCTTTGTGGATGTTCCATCGCGAGTTCTCGTGTCGCCTGCCCTTTTTCGTTTCGAAGTCGGTGTTGTAGCAGCACCGTGTTCGTTTCCAGCCCGCATGGTCAAGACCTACGTCACCACTGGCTTCACAATCAAGCGTCTAGTCTGCAACTCTTCTGGCAGACCAAGGATGTCATGTGTAAACATTGAGGGGAAGGTCTGGTATATAAAAGAACCTGTCGGGACGGAATTCTGACGGGAGGTTGGAGTCTGTTTTTTTGGGGAGTGTGTGCCCGCAGTTTGGACCGCGATTGTACATCTCTGCAACAGTGAAGTGCAGATGGATGTTGATTGGGGGTCGGTCAGCGAAACACGAAGCGAGGGAAACAGACAAACGGGTTGGACTCAAAAGGCGTAGTGATTTTGTTCGCAACGTTGCTCCCAAGAGGTCCGGACCCCTTCCTGGGGACCGGCTTCCCACCGTGAGTGTTTTTTTACGGGCCCCCAGGCGTAACACTGCTAAGAGCACTCCGCAGTGTTTTTTTCCCCCCCCCCCCCCCCCCCCCCCCCCCCCCCCCCCCCACACGACGCGAGCAGGCCATGGCCACTAGGAGCCAGATAGCCCTCCCCTCCTCCTTTCGCCTCTCCGCATCTTCTCCATCTCTCCTAAACCTTCCCCCCCGCCCCTCCCCCCTCCTCCTCCTCCTCCTCTACCTTCCCCTCCCTCCCCCTCCCCCCTCCCTCCTCCCCTCTCCTTCTCCTCCCTCCTCTCTCCTCCTCCTCCTCCTTCTCCTCCTCTTCCTCCTCCTCCGCCTCTCCTCCCCTCCTCCTCCTCCTCCCTCCTCCCTCCCCTCGCCTCCCCCCCCCTCCCTCCTCCTCCTCCTTCTCCTCCTCCTCCTCCTCCTCCTCCTCCTCCTCCTCCTCCTCTTCCTCCTCCTCCTTCTCCTCCCCCGTGGCCGCAGGGGGAGCCGACGCGGGCATGCAGCCAGACGGCAGGCGCCACCGGGCTCTGCGACCACTTGCGACCCTTGCCCCTGCGGGTCCCATCGACGCCGGGGTCTCGGACGCGCCCGCTGGGGGTCACTCGGCTGCAGACATCCCTCGAACTCTGAGCTCCAGCCAGGTTTTCAACAAGTCCGACCTGCAGGGGCAGGGCTCGCTGCTTGCCTACGCACGCCGCCCGGCCGGCCACGGGAGGGGCCGGACGGGCGGAACAGCTGCGGGGGCCAGGGAGCCTCGCCGCCTCAGACCCATCGAGGGGCCTCTGGCCGTCTTCGGCCTCCGGAGGCCCTCACAGGGCAGTGGGTCGGGCGTTGCGTATTGGGGGCGTCGAGACGTTGAGTGGTGAAGAGAGGTGCACCTTCTGTTCACCGCAGGGGCCCTAAAGAGGGCCCTGGGGCCCCAAAGGGGCACGACAGGTGCACGCTTCATCTCCCCCAACTAATCGCCGCCCACTATAGGGAACGCCCAGCCGGGGCCGTCAGAGAACGACTCAGGACGAAAAGCCAGTGCCCAGGCAGGGGTTCAGAGCTCTGGGGAGCCACGTCTGGAAAGACTCGCGGCGCCGGATGATTGGGGGCCGCGACATTTCGCCGCTTCAGAGGCCAGCGGCCTCTCTGGCCGCAGTGGAGGGAGCACGCAGGGCTAGGATGAGGATACATCGATCCAGAGCATTCGTGATCGATCTCGGGGCGTTCCAGAGCGTTCTGGAACGGATCCTCTAGACCCGCCAGTCCCGCCAGCTCTCAGAGATTCCCGATGTGTCCTCATCTAGATTTATCTTCGTCGTGCCTTCGTCTCAGGAACAGCTGCGCGCGCAATCCTCCCTGGCAGTAGCCCAGACATCAGACATTTGTACCTTCTGGTTGTATTGAACATCTTTTGTTGATCTTCTAGTAGAGAAATATTATTGTTGATCTACAGAAGATAGACGGGGTGCTCTCTTTGAGCGTGGGCTATTTTTCTCGAGAACGAGGCTCACGTTCGAGCGCGAGCTTCAGTTCAAATATGTGTTTTTGAAGGCCCGTCTGCAATAACAACGGCTCCAGGCTGAGGACCCCCTCGTAAGTTATTCATACTCCCGGCTCCCGCTCGGGACTTCCTCCCGTTACGTTCCGTGCTCGTTCTGTTGCGTTCTAACCTTTGGATCGCGTTCGCTAGAACACCACGGCTCGTATTCGTTCCTTCTTGTCGTGCTAGAGCGCCACGGTTCCTGCTCGCTCGGTTGCGTTATCATCCTCTTCCCCCCTAGCTCCCTCTGTTCGGCCTTCCCGCCTCTTCACAAGTGCAACATCGCATCCTGCTACTTCTTCTGCGATGGATATGTTGCCATGGCTCACGTCCGTTCGGTTCTGGTCCCATCCCTGAGGAGGAAGGGGCGGAGGATTGCGTGCTGGTTTCGAGTGACCGCGCTGACGTAGGGTCACTGCGTGGAGACGCTGCCGGAAAGGGGAGCCGACCGAGCCCCTCGACTCGGCCCACCCTCCCAGCGCCACTCGCAGTCCGAGCACTCCCCGGCCGGGCGGGGCAGGGGTGCGAAGGGCGGCCGCAGGCGGCCACGCTGGGCCGCGCGGGCCGGTGCCATCGGCCGGCCACCAGGCGAGGCGAGCCCGGAATGTGCTGCCCCGCGCCAGCGTCCGGGCGACCCCACGCGCGCGCACGGCACATCCGCGCGGTACCCTGCAGAGCCCGCGGGCCGAGGCAACCGGACGGTCCAGTCCCCCCCGTAGGGGGGTCCCCCCGTCGGGGTCCCCCCGTCGCCACGGCTGGGCCCGCCTGCCTCGGAGAGGCCTGGGGGGGTCGACACACGAGAGGCGATCCGCTGGCCGAGCGGGTCGCGGGCGTGAAGCCAGCGATTCCACGATGCCACGGAGCCACCAAGGGGCAGCCGAGAGCCAGCTACATCCTCCTGTTCCCAAGCCCCACGGGTTTCGGCATAATGAGGAGGAGGAGGAGGAGGAGGAGGAGGAGGAGGAGGAGGACGAGGAGGATGAGGAGGAGAGGACGAGGAAAAGGACGAGGAGGAGGAGGACGAGGAGAAAGAGGAGGACGAGAAAGAGGAGGTCTGTTGCCCTCTTCCCCCTCCCCGCTCATCATGGAAGGGGGGCGCCTTCGGGAGACGCGACGCGTCCTGGACCCCGGGGCTTTCCCCCAGCGCCAGGTCTGCATCCCGCCCGGAGCTGTTTTCTGACGGCCCTAGGGCCTTCGGAGGATATTTGTCAGGAGGGAAAGTAACACACAGACACAATTTTATCGGCGATTTCCCAGAAAATATAAGGAAATTATCCCAGTGCGACCCTACCTAGGAGTTGGAGCCCCTAGGAAAGCAGCATTAGTAGTAACAGTAAAGCTAAGCTAAAGCTAAGCTAAAGCTAAACAACAGCTAAGCTAAAGCTAAGCTGAAGCTAAGCTAAAGCTAAGCTAAAGCTAATCTACGGCTAAGCTAAAGCTAAGCTAAAGCTAAAGCTAAAGCGAAGCTGAAGCTAAACTAAAGCTAAGCTAAAGCTAAGCTAAATCTAAGCGAAAGCTAAGCTAAAGCTAGGCTAAAACTAAGCTAAATCTAAGCTGAAGCTAAGCTAAAGCTAAGCTGAAGCTAAGCTAAAGCTACGATAAAACTAAGCTAAATCTAAGCTACAGCTAAGCTAAATCTAAGCTACAGCTAAGATAATGCTAAGCTAAGGCTAAGCTAAAGCTAAGCTAAAGCTTAGCCAAAACTAAGCTAAAGCTAAGCTAATGCTAAGCTAAGGCTAAGCTACAACCAAGCTATCACTAAGCTAAAGCTAAGCTAACACTAAGCTGAAGCTAAGCTAACGCTAAGCTAAAGCTAAGCTACAGCTAAGCTAACACTAAGCTGAAACTGATCTAAAGCTAAGCTAAAGCTAAGCTAAAGCTAAGCTAAAGCTAAACTAAAGCTAAGCTACAGCTAAGCTAACACTAAGCTGAAGCTGATCTAAAGCTAAGCTAAAGCTAAGCTAAAGCTAAGCTAAAGCAAAAGCTAAGCTAAAGCTAAGCTAAAGCTAAGCTAAAGCTAAGCTAAAGGTAAGCTGAAGCTAAGGCTAAGCTAACACTAAGCTAAAGCTAAACTAAAGCTAAGCTAAAGCTAAGCTAAAGCTAAGCTAAAGCTAAGCTAAAGCTAAGCTAAAGCTAAGCTAACGCTAAGCTAAATCTAAGCTAAAGCTAAGCTAGCACTAAGCTACAGCTAAGCTAACACTAAGCTGAAGCTAAAGCTAAAGCTAAGCTAAAGCTAAGCTAAAGCTAAGCTAAATCTAAGCTGAAGCTAAGCTGAAGCTAAGCTGAATCTAAGCTAAAGCTAGGCTAAGGCTAAGCTAAAGCTAAGCTGAAGCTACGCTAAAGCTAAGCTGAAGCTAAGCTAAATCTAAGCTACATCTAAGTTAAAGCTAAGCTACAGCTACGAACAAGCTAAGCGAAAGCTAAGCTAACGCTAAGCTAAAGCTAAGCTAAAGCTAAGCTAAAGCTAAGCTAACGCTAAGCTAAATCTAAGCTAAAGCTAAGCTAGCACTAAGCTAAAGCTAAGCTAACACTAAGCTGAAGCTAAAGCTAAAGCTACGCTAAAGCTAAGCTAAAGCTAAGCTAACACTAAGCTGAAGCTAAGCTAAAGCTAAGCTAAAGCTAAGTTAAAGCTAAGCTAACACTAAGCTGAAGCTAAGCTAAAGCTAAGCTAAAGCTAAGCTAAAGGTAAGCTACAGCTAAGCTAAAGCTAAAGCCAAAGCTAAAGCTAAGATAAGCTAAAGCTAAGGCTAAAGCTCCCAGGGGACTGGGGGAACCGCGGGGCGGGGACTGGGGGAACCGCCCGGGGCGTGTAGCACTGCCCGGCCCCTTCTAGGCAGAGCCTAGGTAGGGAATATTGGAAGTGGGGGGGAAGACAAAAACCCAGAACACATGGAAACATATGGCGATTCCTTTTATTTGTGTATGTTTATTTGTGTGTCCCAGGGCCCCTTCAGATACGTGGGGAGGCCGAGACTGGCGAGACACCATCTCATCAAAATGCCCCTCCCCTTAGGATTAAGTCGGGGCTGTCCCTCTGCGGGGGGAGTATTCAAACATAGTCAACAAATAGTCAGGGGACGATTTTTGGACCAGTTTTGGATATTTCCCCACATGCTTCCTGGGGTTCTGGTTTTCTACCTTGCCGCGCCGCACCCGCGACACTCACACCTCACCTCTCTCTCCTTCTCACACAGCGCAGCACAGCACAGCACAGCACAGCACAGCACAGCACGGCACGGCACAGCACAGCACAGCACAGCACAGCACAGCACAGCACAGCACAGCACAGCACAGCACATGCACAGCAGCGTAGGGGGTGCGTAGGGGCTGGTCTCTCACGGCGGCCGCTATCCGTGACGGTCGTCCAGGGCACAGCAGGCATGGCATATTCTCGACACCATAGGGGGTGCGCAGGGGGTGGTCTCTTACCGCGGCCGCTATCCGTGACGGTCGTCCAGGGCACAGCAGGCATGGCATATTCTCGACACCATAGGGGGTGCGCAGGGGGTGGTCTCTCACCGCGGCCGCTATCCGTGACGGTCGTCCAGGGCACAGCAGGCATGGCATATTCTCGACACCGTAGGGGGTGCGCAGGGGGTGGTCTCTCACCGCGGCCGCTATCCGTGACGGTCGTCCAGGGCACAGCAGGCATGGCATATTCTCGACACCGTAGGGGGTGCGCAGGGGTGGTCTCTCACCGCGGCCGCTATCCGTGACGGTCGTCCAGGGCACAGCAGGCATGGCATATTCTCGACACCATAGGGGGTGCGCAGGGGGTGGTCTCTCACCGCGGCCGCTATCCGTGACGGTCGTCCAGGGCACAGCAGGCATGGCATATTCTCGACACCATAGGGGGTGCGCAGGGGGTGGTCTCTCACCGCGGCCGCTATCCGTGACGTCGTCCAGGGCACAGCAGGCATGGCATATTCTCGACACCATAAGGGGGTGCGCAGGGGGTGGTCTCTCACCGCGGCCGCTATCCGTGA